TGAGCGATTTAAGTACATTTTAAACAAACACGAACTAGACAAACTCAGGAAAAATTGTGATTTATGGAGATAAAAATATCCATCAAGACCGCAATCTTGACCAAAATGTAGTGCAAAGAGAAAATCTTACAGATGTTCCATTAAGAAAAAAATTCCAGATAAGAAAATGGTACCGTCACTGAGAAAAAGGGCTTTAACGTTGCTGAACACGAGGGAGATGATGCAAAAAGGTAAGAAGTACCTTATGGTGTTCACGTCACGTGACGTTAATTTCATTCGATTTTTTCAAAATGGCGTCTGTTTCCACTTACTCGTTACATTGGACTTTGGCAAGTTGTTAAAAAATAAAATTTTGTCTGATAACAGATAACACATCAGGACAGCACATCAGTAGCTTCAGTAGCTGATGGAGAATTTTTGCGACAATTTCCAGAATTTTTGTAATTTCTCTACAAATATTTCATCCATAGCTGCTACTCTTCTCTGTGAGTACTAATTCATTTCATATTCTTGCATCGATGAAATTTTAAATGAACCTAAACCCTCTGGGCGTTCAGAACATTTTTGTTTACTTCTTGTTGTATCAACAAGAAGATTTTTCATATTTTCTGTCGGCTGTAGTACTTTATTAATTGTTAATCATGCAGATGGATCACATATAAAACCGGACGACCATCGTCGATGAACTCAGGTTGAAATGGACGACAAAGCAATGGTACAAACCGATGATGAGAGACTCTTAGATAATGCCACCGAATTATGCCAGGAAAGTGTTGGTAAATGCAAAAATATTATTTCCGAGGTCTCGGATGATTCACTGAAAACTGAAAATCCTATTAATAATGGCGAACCAGTGATCATTAGCAACGGTTCGGTTGAAAAATTCAACTCAAACGTCGATGAAGTAGTCAATGATTTCCAACATTTCAACATTGATATGCCCTCAACGTCTGGGTGGGCTAACGCTTCACACAGTAAGAAACAGTCAAAACGTGTCATAATGAGTGCGGAAGAAAGTGATAACGACGAGGTTTCCCTTCATATCACTTCCCAATCGAGTAATCATGATGGCACCTCTCACTATCGTCCAAGCTCACTTCCTCTTGAAAAAACGAAAAGACGAGTTTTGAAAATATCTCCTGAAGATATAACTAGTCCTGACAGTCCTATGAGTGAAGATGAAAACAAGTTCATCAGTCCTGAAACTGATTCTCAGGATGAACTGGAGAACTCGATTATGGTTATTTTGAATAATTCGAAAGAGTCTTCGGATATGATTCCCGAATTGACGTTCGACGAGGAGCAAGCAGAATTAAGGAACTGGAAAGCCTGTACCATTGCAGGTGTGAAAAGGCAAATAGATTTAAAAGTAATAGAACCATATAAACGTGTGCTATCGCATGGTGGCTATTTGAATACGGGATCTCATAATGCCATAATTACTTTCAGTGCGTGCTTTTTACCGCATAAAAGTAGAAAAGATTATAATTACGTAATGGATAATTTATTTTTTTATACTTTGCACACTCTCAATCAACTTGTAACCGATGATTACGTATTAGTTTATTTACACGGAGGCACTACTAAAGACTGTATTCCAACATTTTCTTGGCTTAAAACGCTGCTATCAGATGATTGATAGAAAACTGAAGAAAAACTTGAAAACTTTGTACTTGGTGCATCCTACGTTCTGGTTGAGAACTCTAGTCACGATGATTAAACCGTTCATCAGTTCCAAATTCAGTCGTAAAATTCATTTCGTAAATAGTTTGACGGAACTGAGTGATATTTTTACCTATCGAAGAGGCCAGTATTCCTGATAAAGTGAGACAATACGATCGAATTAAAATGAGTTTATTGAAAAAATGAAAAATACTCGTTTTGGTTCTCTACCAATGTCTCAGAGTTTTTACAGTAACTAATACATTTTTATCCTATTATAATATGAGTGCATTATCGTATTTATTTTTTAAGAACCAATGTGTGCAGTTCAAAACAATCATGTACATGATAGTGAAATATTTTCAAGTTTAATAATCTAAGTTATTTTATTGACTTTTTTCCCAAAATTCTACGGAACATTCTCGTTCATTTTGCAAGTGTTTCCTTGTTCGTTTTTACTCATACCTATGTATTATTTTCTTATCCTCTGGACTGACACTTTTTAAAAATCATCAGTTTTCAAAAACTAGTTACCTCATTACCTGTACATTCCATTTGTGGAGAACTTTATTTTTTAAAACTATTCACGGTAACATGATAGATTCTTACATATTTAAGAATAAAAATCGTCATTTTTAATTCCAGATGTTCAATTTCAAAAAATACACGATTTTTTGAATATGATTGTTGTAGGAATTTATGTTATCAATTTTTAATTGATTGTGAAAGGATCTAATTAATTTTTTGGTCTGAATGATCTGATGGATCCTTGAAACTTACTTGAAAGATTGATCGAACTTTTCTGAATCACGTGTAAAAAATCTTTTTAAAAAATACCAAAAAAGTTAAAGAAAATTACTTCATCGTTTTCTTTGGATGCTCTTTCGTTCAAGGTCAATGCCAAGAATACAAATTTATTCAGAATTTCAATTTTCAATTTTGAAAAACCAACTTTTGAATCGAAGG